AAAAAATGCTCTTCAGAAACCTACGGGTGACGTCACGGACACTACGTCCATTGTTTTACACAGTCTATGGTTTTTTTTTTTTACAAGCACACTTATAACTGGACAAAGGAAATAAGAAAAGCTTGACATAGAAACCAGCTGTATACCTGTAATCTTAACGGATACTTCATAAGAGGCCGTGCCAGCTTCATTGGAGATTTTGCACATATACGTTCCACTATCTGACAGCTGAGATTTTTTGATGCACAGGACAGCCAGGCTGGTCTTGAAGGTTACATCATAACAGTCAGAGGTGAAGATTTCCGTGCCATCTTTATACCAGTTGACAGTCAGGGGCTGTGATCCAGCTACACGACCCTCAATCTTCACTATTTTGCCCTCAGTGTCCTCAATAGTTGCTGAAGGTTTTTTGGTAAAACTAGGTGGAATTTTGCGTTCTATAGGAACAATAAAGAGAGGTGTTGTTAGACAGTACATACATGATAGAAAAAAAGAGGTTCTTTCACCTAAATGCATAGAGCAAAATGAAGAGCAAAAAAAAATATGCTCAACAGTGCCACCTGTTGACATACTGCAAGCAAAGAAAAACATGAATGCAAAGGCATGAAGAATGGAAGACAAAAACATAAAAGAAATAAAGCACCACAGGTCAGTCCCAAGACAATGAAGACACAGTCACACTGAAAAGCGGTGACCAAATACCTTTCACAGAAACTTCTGTAGAACAAGAGTCCTTCCCAATATCATTACTAGCATGGCAAGAATAACGACCAGAGTCTGCCTTATCAGCTTTCAAAATTGTCAAATGTGGAGTGTTATCCACACATGATATCTTATAATTGCCCCCTGTGCGGATGTCTTTGTGATCCTTGGACCAAGTAACTTTTATTGGCAATGATCCCGTCATGTGGCATTCCAGTTCGACAGTATCTCCCACTGTCACATCCACAGGTATGAGCTTTTTATCAAACACAGGTGGATATCTTGGCTCTGTAGAGTTAAATAGAGATAACAGCACAATTGTATAGACATGGTAATACATTCAATTCAGTGTTTTTCACAACACAGGAAACAAATGTAAACAGAGAACAATATGAAAGAAATAAACAGACCTTGAAGTGTGAGCTTGGCTCTACAAGAAGCAGTTCCAACACTATTAGTCGCAATGCAAGTGTATTCTCCAGAATGTCTCATTTCACCTTTGACTATATTTAGGACAGCAGAGTTATCGTCAAAAAACATTGTGTATTCTGAATCGCTCCTAAGAGCTTCACCATCTTTGAGCCAAGAGACCTCCATAGGAGAGGATCCTGCAACACGACACTCAAACTGGACAGGCTGTCCTTCAATTTGCGTAATGCTAGTAATCTTTTTAGGGAAAGACGGTGGTGTTTTCACATCTGAAAAGAAAAACATTTAGCAAAATACATTGATAAAGGTTACACAGTGCAATCAAAACATTTAAGACATTTAAGAGATAGATTCAGAGCTTTGAAGAGAAATTAGAATCACCTTGTACAGTTAAGAGGCACCTGGAAGAGGCAGATCCTATGCTGTTTTCTGCCTTACATGTGTATTCACCAATGTCAGATTTGGCAACTTTAGCTAGTTTCAGGCAGGCAGTGCCTTTGAAGAACTCCATCTTACAGGTTGGAGAAGACCGCACTTTGCCATCTGCCTTGAACCATGACACTTTAATTTCAGGAGTGCCACCAATCTGGCATTTCAGACAAACTGCATCACCTGCAGTGACCTCCATGGGCTCCAAACTCTCAATAAAGATAGGTGGTTCTAAAAGTGACAAAATATATATACATACCATGAAGACAAGCATGCACATTTTGATTTTGTCTCACAGTAGCTTATATTGAGCAATTTTACTCAATAACAAACCTAAGATGGACACTGCTGCTTCACAAGTGTCGTGTCCAGCATCATTGGAAACCTCACAAGTGTATTTTCCAGCAGCCTCTTTATCACTGTTTAGACACTCGAGGATGCAGGAGCTCTCAGTGGTTGTGATGTTGTACTTGTAAGAGGAGTAAATCTCCTGGCCATCTTTATGCCATTTCACAAGAATCTTTGGGCTTCCCGCATACGTACATTCAAGTATCAGAGACTTGCCCATTTCAACAGACAGGTTCTTGAGCTTCTTGACAAAGTGTGCAGCCTCTGAATGAAAGATGGCATATATATGTGAGACACAAAGCTCCGCTTTAACAAGTATTCAAGAAATAGTTACTCATATTAACTAAATTAAAACTAACCTTTAACAAAAAGGTTCACTGTGCAGTTTTCCTTCCCTGCATCATTAATGATCTGGCAAGTGTACTCGCCAGCATGAGATTTATCAATGTTGTAGAGCTCCAGAATTGCATTATCTCCTCTTAAAGCAATCTCACAGCTTCTCCCAGACACTATTTCCTTACTGCCTCTAAACCATTTCAGTTTCATTGGGGTACTTCCTTGAACGGTTGCTGTAAAGGTGACATTTGTGCCTGGGAGGGCTTCCACCGGTTGAGGTGTGGTCACAAAAGAGGGGGGTTCTATAGCAAACACGACAGGAAGAAGGTTGTGAAACGTGCCTTAACCAATAGATTTACATTTATTAATTGTGAATTATTCTACACCCAAACACTAACCTTTAACAACTAAGGAAGCGAATGTCTCTGCAGTTCCTGCACTGTTCACTGCTTTACATTTGTATGTGCCCGAGTCTGAAAGTTTCAGAGTTGGCACTTTCAATGTGCAGGTATTCTCAGCGAATGTAATCTCATAGTTCGGTCCACTTTTAATCTCCTCTTCATTATGGTACCAAGAGATGGTGAGAGGTGCAGACCCTGAGGCTTTGCAGTCCATTTCAACAGTTTTGCCAACAATATTCTGTGTGTCCTTCAGTTTTCGTGAGAACGAAGGAGGAACGATTTTGTCTGTTTGACCAAAAACAAGATTCTCAGCTTTTGGCTTCACAAGAAATCACATGTAATTCTAAGATTGGAACAAATATTATATACAAGGATATTTAACATTACTGACCCAAAACAGTGAGGTGCATTTTGCAGCTATCACTGCCAACTTCATTCTTGATTTCGAATGTGTATTCTCCAGTGTCACTTTTCTCTGTTGACAATAGCTTAAGACTGGAGATCATTTTTGAGAAGGTGATTTTGTATTTTCTGCCTGAAGACAACTCCACATCATCCTTGTACCATTTTGGTTTAAGTTCTGGAGTTCCAGATACAGTGCATTCTAAGACTGCAGTGTCACCAGCGGTTACACTGATTGACTCTGTCTTATCCACAATTGCTGCAGGTTCTAGAAATTTAGAAGCGTCTTTATGTTAATTTACATAATAAATTTTTAAAAGATATACTGTATATGCTTAAGGGGGGGGGGCTTTATTTTTCTTACAAACCTAGGACAGTTAGGTTTGCTGTGCATTCAGCTACTCCAGCATCATTTTTGAGCTGACATGTATATTTTCCAGCAGTGGTAGAGTCAGCTTTAAAGATCTTCAGGGTGACCTGATTATTCTCAAATGTAATTTTCCTGTTGTCACCATCCCTGAGAATGTGGTCTTTATCCTGAACCCAAGACACAGTCATAGGCTGCGAGCCTTTGACCGTTGCCAACAAAACCACTTCCTCACCAGAGATGGCTGTAATGTTGGATAATTTCTTCACAAACGCTGGTGGTTCTGAATGTCAGGAAGAGAGTCATCAGAAAGTCAGAAAGTGTTAAATCTTCTTTTGGATAAGTATTTGATACTTTTATTTGAACTAGTATCTTACTGACCTCTTAGCTTTACAGTGCCCTGGCAGGAATCACTTCCTACATTATTTGATGCTTTGCACTCATATTCCCCTGCATCTAATGCTTCCAGTCCAAGGATGTGGAGAGTTGCAGAGCATCCCTCAGACACAAATTTATACTTCCTACTCTCCTTTAACTGTTTTTTATCTTTAAACCAGGTTATCTCAAAAGGTGCTGAGCCTTTCAGCTCACAGTTAAGACTGGCATCTTTGCCCTTCAGCCCCTCAACTGGTGTTGGCACTTTGTGGAAAGTTGGTGGTTCTACAAAAATATAATTCAAATCAAAATGAGCATTTATGCATATTGCAATCAATGAATAAATCATTAAATCAATAAATCATATCCTCTGAAGAGGGTTATCATCAATAACTAAAACTATGAAACTGAAATAAAATAAATATTAGATGGAAAAAAACGAATTTGATTTTAACTGCCTTGGCAATGAACTGAAACAAGTTTAAATTGAAGCACTAAAATTACTAACTGGAAAAAAACTAAAACTGAACCAAATAAAACTGAAATAGAAATAAGTAACAACTGAAAAAAAAGCAAATTCATAATATTAATAGAAATTATAATAGTAAACAAATAATACTAAATAACACTGCTTCTGAAACATAGTCAATTAATGCTCATGTTGAAAAAGGCACAAGCATTCAACTAGTAAATGAGAGATCCATCCACTGTCTAACCTTTGACTGTGAGTGTGGTACTGCAACTCTTAGTTCCAGCATCATTCTGGACTTCACAGGTGTAGACTCCATTTTCCTCAAAGCTGCACTTGAAAATTTCAAGGACTCCCACAGAGTTATCGAAAGTCATTCTCATGTTGCCACCATCGCTGAGTACAGCGTCATTTTTGTACCAGCTAATTTTCAGAGGAGCTGTGCCAGTAACTTTGCATTCAAGCTGGAGTCGCTCTCCCATCTTCATGATTTTTGCAGCTGGCAGTTTCTGTACAAACTCTGGAGGTTCTGTAAAACCAAAATTACAACATGTTATCGTAATGATTAATGCAATATATAAAATGGAGCACTGAGGAAGAAGATGGCAGATGACAAGAGGCACATGATGGCTTAAAGAGAGTAAAGCGTAATGATGAACAGTAATGAAGTAAGATGATGATGAAAGGCAGGCAGACAATTTATGTAAGCAATACAAGAGCATGCAAATGGTGAAGCATGAAAAAACAATGATCATGAAGAGCGCTGATAAGAGTACTTGAAAGAGGTCCAACCTTTTACCAACAAGGTTGTGGTGCATTTAGCGGTACCAGCATCATTGCTTATTTGACAAGAGTAAGTTCCACTGTGTGATATTCCAACGGCAAAAAGATCTAGGAAGCATGAGAGGCCTTCCAGGCCAGTAAAACATGAAGGTCCACAAATCAGCTCAGTGTCATCTTTGAACCATTTCACTGTGAAGGGAGATGTTCCCTTAAAGGTACTCTTAAACCGAACAGTGGTATTTGGTATGACAGCCTGTGATTCTGGAACCAGCACAAAGCTTGGTGGCTCTAAATCATTAATGGGAAAGAAAGACAAATACATCTGTTAAGAAACTGGCAGCCATCAGAGACCTTAAGATATATGTGAGAATGAAATATGCTACTAAATACTACAAAAGCTATCTGACCTTTCACCCTCAGTGTACCACTGCATTCACAACTGCCTGCTTTGTTTGTAAGTTTACAAGTATACGTTCCAGTGTCGGCTTTCTCTAAACACTCAATTTCCAAAGACACGCTGTTGTCATCCTTAAGAAGTTTATGTTTGGTTCTTCCTGACAGTTTAGTCCCGTCCTTCATCCACTCCACAGTTATGGGGAGTGAGCCAGATATTTTACATCCAATTTGAATATTTGTGCCCAGAATTTCCTCCATCTCCATCAAAGGTTTAATGAAAGATGGGGGGATTATTTGCTCTGACAAAGACAAAGAAAAGTGAAGATCATAAAAATCACTAAAATTCATCCAATACTAATTGTTCCATTAATCAAGAATAAACACTAACCTAGCACGTTTAATGTCACTTTGCACTGGCAGACACTGATGTGGTTGGAAACCTCAAACACATAAGTTCCTTTGTCTTCCAACTGGACAGACTGAATTTTAAGTTGGCTGACATTATTGATGAAGCTTAGGCTGTGCTGTCTTGAAGGCATAACTTCATTGCCATCTTTAATCCATTTGACTTTCAGTTCAGGAGAGCCTGTAACTTTGCACTCAAAACTTACTGGATCTCCAGCAGTGACATTAATCATCTCTGGCTTTTCAATTATCTGAGGTGGCTCTGGGGATAATATAACAAACATATTTATAATAGCAATCTTTAGGAAGGACAGCTACAAAAAAAAAACACTTGCAAAAATAACTAACCTTGAACCACAAGGGTAGCAAAACACTTTTCTTGCCCTGCCTCATTCACAGCCTGACAGGTGTATCTTCCACTGTGGATGGACTCACACACAGGGATTCTCAAAGTAGCAATACTGTTTAAAAATGTCCTCTCAATTGAAGGATCCTCCAAAATCCAGTTTTCATCTTTCTGCCATTGTATGGACAGAGGTGGTGAACCTCTTACAACACATTTAAATTCAACCTTTTTTCCAAGAACTGTGACAACATTCTCAATCCTCTCCACAAACGATGGGGGCTCTGATAGATAATGTGAAATGTTAAATAATATAAATAGAGATAAAATCATAAATATAAAATCTATTAAACATACTGGATGCTAACCTTTTATGCTGAGTGTAGTCTGACTTGAACAACTCCCAACTTCATTTGCTACAATGCACTGATATTCTCCAACATCTAAAGCATCACATTTCTGTACATCAAGAGTCATTATAGAACCATTCTTCTGCAAAATCACGTGCTTGAGGCTTGATTTAATGTCCTTTGAATCTTTTTGCCAGGTCACCTCAAAAGGAGCTGTGCCTTTTACCTGACATTCAAAATACGCATTTGAGCCATTCACAACCTCAAGAGGACTCAATGGCTTGACAAGAACTGGGGGCTCTGAAAAAAGAAGAAAGCTTGAAATGAAAACAGTTTAAAATTGATGTTCTAGACATACATTTTTTGAGGAATCATATCAAATAACTTAAACGCCTATAAAATGCACTACATACTAACCTTTCACTCTTAGTTCCATACTACAGCTCTCACTGCCCGCCTCATTCCGGGCTTCACAGTAGTATACTCCACAGTCTTTGATATCACTGCTACTTATCTCAAGCCGTGCAAGAGAATCGACAAAAGTCATTTTATGCTTGTCACTTGGACTTATTTCATTCCCATCTCTGAACCAGTATGTGTCTATCTCTGGAGTGCCTGTAATCTGGCATTCAAAAACTACCAATTGGCCTGGTTTTACCACTGTTACTTTTTCAGGTTTGCGGGTAAATTTGGGGGGTTCTGTAAAATTAAAAAGAAAGAAAGAAAGTACTTATTTTAAGCATTTAACAAAGGTTTGGGGGGAAAGCAGTTATAAATTATTTTTGTGAAAACCTTTCACGAGGAGTGTTGCTTGGCAAGCATCTGATCCAACATCATTACTTATTTCACAGACATAGTCTCCAGAGTCGGAAGGCTTAGCAAAAAAGAGCTCCAGTAAGCTAGAGGTGTCATTTTTCTGAACAGAACAGTCAATCCCAGATGAAACCTCTTTCTTATCTTTAAACCACTTAATGGTCAGTGGTGGCGTGCCAGACACAAGCACATTAAACTGCACTCTGGATCCTGGTATAACGTCTTGTGATTCAGGCTTCTCAATGATTGCCGGAGGTTCTGAATATAAAAGGAAGATTTAAGATTAAAGTTTAAATGAAGATAAAACTCACTGAAAGGCACAGCATGAACAATAAGATGATGTAACAAGATATAAAATACAGTTTGCAACTTTACAAACTAACAAATTAAATTGTTATTTATAAAAGCCAACGGTAATCGCAAACCTTTGATCTTCAGCGTGCCCGAACACTGAACAGTGCCTGCTTGGTTTTTAGCAATACAAGTGTAGTTGCCACTGTCTGAGCTATCAAGATGACTGATTTCCAAAGATGCTGCACTCTCAAAGAATATGCATTTGTGCTTCTCATCTGTCTCGATCTCCTTATTTTCCTTGAACCAAGTGACAGTTATGGGAAGAGATCCAGAGACCAGACATTCCAACTGTGCAAAAGATCCTTTTATACTCTCCATGTCCTTCAATTTTCTTGTGAAGGAAGGTTTGAATATTTGATCTGTTACAGTGAAGGGAAAATATAACAGCTTCAATCTGAGTGTTGATCTAAAATGTCCAATTCCTACAAATCTATAAATTACTATTTTTTCTACCATACTAACCTAAAACAGTCACAACTGCCTCACAACTGCTTCTTCCAGCATCATTTGAAATCTCAAAGATATATTCTCCACCATCACTCTTTTCAGCAGAAAGAATTTTTAATATGGAGCTTGTATCAGTGCTCTGTACTTTGTATTTTTTGCTTGATGTCAGCTCTTTGCCATCCTTTAGCCATTTTGCTTTAAGAACTTTAGAACCAGAGTATCTGCATTCTAGAGTGGCAGGATCACCTACTGTAACACTGATGGACTTGGCTTGCTCTGTGATGTTTGCAGGCTCTGTGTATAGTAAAACATGAATCAATACATGCAAATAGGACTAAATCAAAAATAGCTATATGGATAACATAACTAAAGAATAACATGAAAATCTGATGATCAGAAACTGTGTAAAACGTCAGTGAGGGGAGAAAAAAAACGATATTATAAATATGTAAATTAGCATTAAAAATTACTACACACCTTTTACCGCCAATACTGCTGTACATTTCTGACTACCAGCTTCATTCTGTGCATGGCAAGTGTACTTTCCACCATGTTTTAACTGCACACTAGAAATGTATACCACTGCTGTCTGGTTCTCAAAAGATATCAGAACATGCTCAGATTCCTTGATCTCATGGTCATCTTTCATCCAAGAGACGGTCATAGGCAATGACCCTTTCAAAACACACTGCAAGGAAACCTCACCACCAAGCAGGACATTTGTATTTTCCATCTTCTGCACAAATGATGGTGGCTCTAATTGAAGAATATGAAATGTAGGCATGTTGTTAGCACAATGTTTACGAACATCACTGTACCTTCACTTACATATACAAAAATCCAATAATTTCTTCTTCTTACTAACCTTTCAGAGTAACATGAAAATCACAGGAGGTCTGCCCTACTTCATTTCCTACAGTGCACTGATATTTGCCAGCATCCCCAGGTTCAAATTTCAAAATCTGAAGAGCTGCTACATCCTTTGTCAGGCTTATGATGTGCCTTCTATCATTTCGGATCTGCTTTGAGTCTTTGAAACAGGAAATCTCAAAGGGAGCTGAGCCTGACACTGTTCCTTCCAGCGCAACATCTGTGCCTTTAACAATTTCTTTGGATTCAAAAGGTTTCACAAATTCGGGAGGTTCTGAGATAAGAAAGTACCAATTAGCTAATGAAGTAACCACCATTAAATGACTTTAACATCCTTAAAAAGTAAGGTGATCAACTTCAAACAAACCTTTGACTGTAACCAAGCAACTGCATCTATCGCTGCCAGCTTCACTTGATGCTTGGCAGATATAATCTCCACTGTCTTCAACACAGCAATTGGAAATTTGTAGTGTAGCAACTGAGTCGATGAAGGTCATTTGGTATTTATCATTTGAGCTCATTTCAGTTTCATTTTTATACCATCTAATACTGATCTCTGGGCTGCCAGTGACTTTACATTCCATAGTTGCAAGACTCCCATTCAATGCTAGTTTAGTCGAGTCAAGTTTCATTACAAATTTTGGAGGTTCTAAAAAAAGAGAATAACACATTAAGATGAATTAACTGAAGAATTATTCTGTAAAAAATAATGGAAAAACAATTAATCAAGAGTAAGAAAAAGCACCTTTCACAAATAAGGCAGCTGTGCATGAGACCTTTCCAGCATCATTAGAAATTTGGCATGTGTATTTTGCAGACTGAGATGGCTTCACAGAGTGCAGCTCCAGTGAACTTGAGTTGGCTTCTTTCTTGATGAAGCAAGTTCCTCCAGTTAACATTTCTTTGTCTTCTCTGAACCACTTAATAATAAAAGGTGCTGTCCCAGTGAATGCAGCTGTTAGGACAACTGTAGTTCCTGGTATAACATCTTGGTTTTGAGGTTTCAAAGAGAAGACTGGGGGTTCTAAAGTTAGTTTGAAGAGGGAAGAGATTATTTTAACAACCATATACAAAACAATTATTTTCAATCGATAAGATATGATTGATTATTCTAACCTTTAACAGAAACAGTTCCACTTGTTTCACTGTGTCCTGCAGCATTAGTTGCATGGCAGGTGAAAACCCCAGCATCTGATGTCTCTAAATCAGTTATTTTCAGTATTGCAGTGCTTTCCTGCATTTCTGTTTTATATTTTGTTCCAGTTGTAACGTCCTTTCCTTCTTTGAACCAAGATATCGTTATAGGTTGGGATCCTGACACTTTGCATTCCAACTGAATAGTACCTCCAACATTACCATCTACCTTCTTAAGTGTTTTTGTGAAAGTTGGGGGTATTATTTTATCTGCTCAACAGAAGTAAAACACCATTGTAAAAAAAAAAATATGCACACACACACACACACACACACAAAATGAAAGATAATTTTAAAAGAATAGCACTAACCAAGAACAACAATTGAGCAAGAGCATTGCTCTTTTCCAACCCGATTAGAAACTTCAACTTTGTATTCACAGCTATCTCCCCTCTCTGCTGAGAGGATTTTCAAGGCTGCCACATTATCTTTGAAAGAGATTTTGCATTTTCGACTTCCTGTAATCTCTTTGCCATCTCTGAACCATTTTACTTTGAGATCTGGACTCCCTGAAACTTTGCACTCGAGAGTTGCAGAGTCACCTGCAGTCACACTGATGGATGGCGGTTTCTCAACAAATCTAGCTGGTTCTTTAACAAAAATGAAATAAATCAATGAATAAATCAATGATAACAATAAAAGTGTTACAAAATACAATGTTGAATATAGTGATATGCTTAATATGTTTAATTCTAACCTTGAACTGATACAGTGGCCTCGCATTTTTGTTTTCCAGCCTCATTTTCAGCTTGACAAGTATATTTCCCCCCATGGTTAATGGCCACATTTGCTATTGCCAGAATAGCAATGTTGTTTTCAAAAGTCGTGGTAATATTAGGATCATCATCTCTGACTATCTCAGAATCTTTAAACCACTGAACTGTGATAGGAGCAGAACCCTTCAGAGTTCCCTGCAGTTTCACAGCACTGCCTAAAACTGCAGTGGTGTTCTCAACTTTCTTTACAAACAATGGTGGGTCTGCATGAAAAAAGCCATATTAATTTTCACATTTAATAAAATGTTAACAAAAAAAAAATGTTTAGGCCATTGAAATTGATTGTACCAACCTTTCAATTTTGCCACTGCTTTTGAAGTTATTCTGCCAACGTCATTAGAAATGCAACACTGGTAATCTCCAACATCTGCACTTTCAAATGATTTGATTTCCAAATATGCAACTGTCTCTTTTGAGACAATACTATACTTCTTGTCAGAGGATACTGGGTTTTTATTCTTAAACCAGGTCACCTCAAATGGAGCAGTGCCTGTAACTTCACATTCAAGCTGGGCTGTGCTCCCCTTGACTACCTCCACCATTTGCAACTCCTTTTTAAATGCAGGAGGTTCTAAGAACAATAAGAGCAATAAGATTTAAGATGACTCTTCTATCGCAATGTAATGAGCAATAAATCAGAACGTAAGAATCTTGAGTATTACCTTTTACAGTTACTTGAGAGGTGCAGCTTTCACAGCCAGCCTCATTCATCACTTCACAAGTGTAATTTCCACTGTCAGACTCAGATAAGTTAATAATCTCAAGAGTGGCTTGGCCAGCTTTGAAAGTTATTTTGTGTTTTTCAGAGGAACTAAGTGGTTTGTCGTTCGAAAACCAAGTCACGTGGAGTTCAGCTGATCCTTTGACAGTACACGACAGACGTGATGACATTCCTTGTTTCCATAAGATCTTAGGCTCCAGCCTTTTAACAAAGACTGGAGGTTCTAAGGGTTCAAATGCAATGGAGGAAAAAAGATTTTTGATTTGTTTGCAAGAAAAAGACGTTAAGAAAAAGACAGCTTAATATAAATAAGGGACATGTGAAGGAGCACAGTAAAAATAAACTGCAATACTTTCTATGGCAAATAAGAGCAGCATCAACTGATGCTTAAGCTTTGTAAACTCTGTCTAAGAAATGCAAATGCACACTGACATAAATTAATACCCTGACATGCAGATTTGTTTCAAATACTGCATTAACAAAGGGTATTAATCTCAAAGTCTTACCTTGCACTGTCACACTAGAAGAGCAACTGCTGCTTCCTGCGTCATTGGCAGCAGTACAGGTATATGAACCTGTATCTTTGAGTTTAGCCTTTTGAATATCAAGACAGGCTATTTTTTCCTCGAAAGCTAGTTTACAGTCCATTGTAGTATGGAGTTTCTTGCCATCTCTCAACCAGGTGATGGAAACCCCATTGTCTTCATCTACCTGACACTCAAGACGTAGTGGGTTTCCCACAGCAATAGTGGTTGCCTCAAAGCTCTTCACAAAGTTGGGTTTGTCTACAACCCTCAGTTCAGCACAGCATGTAGCTGTACCAACACTGTTTGAAGCTTTGCAAAGATATGATCCCTGATCACTTTGTTGTAAATTCAAGATTTCAAGAAAATACTTGTTCTTGTCAGAGGACGCTTTGCAGTGATCATCAAGTGAAATGGCAATATTGTCTTTGTGCCAGACAACATTCATTGGTTCAGAACCAGAAATAACACATTTAAATTTTGCTTGCTTTCCCACAAATAAAGTCATCGAATCAGGCTTTGATACAAATTCTGGAGGGAACATTTCTATAAAAAGAAGATTTCAACAAATAGAAATAAATAACTTTATCAACAAAGTATCAAACACAAAGCATGTCAACTCCAGAGAAAAGTCAAGAAGATAAATGGACAATAAGAAAGGTATATTTTTCTTACCTGTCACACTTAGTTTAGCAGAGCAGCTGTCACTTCCATGGCGGTTTGAAGCTTTGCAGGTAAATTCTCCACTATCAGCGACTGTTGGGCTAAATATCTCCAGAGATGAGGTGTGAAGACGACTGATAATCCTGCATTTGTCACTATGTCTGAGCTCAGAACCAGACTTCAACCACTTGAAGGTCACACCTGGAGCCTCCTCAATCTCACATTCGAACTTTGCAGGACTGCCAACACTGACCTCCAGATTTTTAATTTTGTGCCTGAAAACAGGTGGCACTGAATCGTGCACACAGACAAAAAGCAAATTAGTACATTATATTTAACATGTTTGCTGACAAGTAATGAGTATGAGCATGAAAAGCAGAAACCACCGATTGGCACTTTCAAAAACCTGAAATGTTCTACAAAAACATTTAATACAAAGTTTAGCAGGTTAAGCGGCTAAATGTAACTATTCACCTTAACCATCTTTAATTTTTACAGATATGGTATTTTCAAAAAGTGCCAATTTCTGTGGTCACTGTAATGGAACAGTAAGAAAATAAAAATTCAAGAGTGACGGTGAAGAGTAATGGTGATCTCGCTATGAGGGAGGAAAAAAACATTGAATAAAGAGTGAAATAATGACTTGACATCCTGGCATGCATGCAAAAAAAAAGATCAATTATGAGGTGCTCAATGACTGATGAAGAAAACAACAATGGAGTATTTCATAACCAATTCCCAGAGATGAATAAAATAAAAAGTGGAAAATACTGCAGGAGTGAAGGAGATGAACGTTGGAATGACACTGAGAGATCCAGCAGGTTAAGGGTTGATGTGAAGAAGTGAAGACATGCTAACATTTTCAGTGATGTGAAAATGGTGGCAAAATCACAGAATTGTGAAGATGATAAGAGAGGAAGACATTACGATGGTATCTTCATATGAAATACATAGATCTTTTCTATTAGTTGGTGTGGAGATACTGAGAACGCATGTCTGATGAAGCGTGTCTATTTTAGCTATAAACGGCAAGAGTTAGTCATGTGAGATGGGATGGCAAAATAATTCCCATAAATCCAACCTCTTGAGACCACAGTGATGTGAGAGGATGTTGAGGTCTTGCCGGCATCACCTACAGCCTCACAGGTATATTCTCCTTGATGATCCTTCGTAACCTTGCTGATTACTAGTGTGTAAGTGTCGTGGTCTTTGCAACACTTGAACTCTTTGCCAGATTTAATTGATTTTCCATTAAAAAGCCAATTTACTTTCGTTACATGTCTAATAGTCAATGAGAATTTTGCCTCTGAATGTTCATCTATTTCAATATCCTCCAAGGAGCTTTCAAAAACTGGGTAAGCCTTCTCTCTAATTTCTTCTTTCTCTAATTTCATAAATGCTTCGGTTATATATTCCTCCCTTTCCTCTCTCTGAAAGACGACGTCAGTCGACCGCTCGATAGGAACAGGCCCCAAAACAAGTTCAGTTGTCATACATTCTGCCCCTACATCCTTCTCAAGTTCTTTTACTGACACAGATCTGGTTTCTTGTCGCTCAACATGGATGGACTGCTGAATCTCAATTTTTGATTCGCTTGCCATTTGAATTGTTGACTGTTGCACAAAAGCTTGCTCTTTAGCTGTTATGGACTGAAAAGAGACTTTCGCTTCAGTTTTCACAGTTGCAGACTGAGACATTGGTGATGTAAAAGGCTCTACATTTTCTGTCAATCTTACCATCTCTACCACAGGTGAAAGCATTTCTTTTGTAGAAGCCTTGGTAACCTGTAATCTTTGGGGCCTGTCAATTTGCATTGTACCTGGCTGCTCTGAGATCATAACCTGTTGCTCTCGATAGACAATGGAGTAGAAAGCAGCTTTAAGTTCACTTCTGAGATCAGCAGTCTGGGGGTACTCGCCTTCAAAAGCAATTGTAATTTCAAGTGGGGCACTTGCACTTGTAATAAGATATGTGAACATGACATATTTGGGTTCTTTCCTTTCTTTTACCTCATGAATTTCTACAGCTCCTAGACTCTCAACTACATCTGCCAGGATCAATGGCTGGTCAAGAGCAACAGCAGCTGCAAGAGCACTTTTTAATTGGTGCTTAATGTCCAATGAATGCGGTTTTGGAGGCGAAATAACAAAAGTGAGCTCTTTGGGTAGAGTTTGGCTCTCTCTTGACTCTGACACTAAAAGAGTACCAATCTTCTGCTTACTGACAACTGCTGTGGATGTTTCAGATTGTGTAATATCCTGAGATAGCTCACCTTTGATTAGACGCTTTTCTTCCATTAATACAGACTGTCTAACAGACTGTCCTTCTTGAATTTGAACTGCGAAATCTTGCTCGGTGGCATCAAGAGCAATGCTACTCTCTGTCGAGATAGCCTTTTCTTCAACATAAATTAATTCAGATGGAATTTTGGGTTCAACTTCGCTTTTAGACACACATTTCTCAATTGTTCCTATATTCTCTGTGTGCCCCTCCTCTATATCCTGACTCTCTGACACAGATGGCACATGCATGATATTCCAGTGATCTTCTTTCTGTACTAGTGCACGCTGCTGTTTAACATCACTTACAAAAGGAGTTTCCTTTGGTAATGGCACTGGCTCTGAAAAGACTTGAAGAATGCTTTCAGGTTTGGGTTCCTTTCTGATTTCAGACTGCACACCTTTAACAGACACATCAAGATCTTTACAATAATCTGCTGTATGCTCTCTTTTTTCTTCTGTGCTTGCAGCATGATGACGGGCTTTTTCTTGTCTCTGTACCGCAATCTGTTCGTCTGGCTTTTCCATTGAGATTATCCCTTCTTTTGTCAACGTATTTTCTAAATGAACTGCCTGAAGATGCAAAGGGGCAGGAGCTTCTTTACCAGGCTGAATGGACATTTTTGTTTCTTGTGCTGAAAACTGAGAAGACTCCTCACATGTCACCATCTGTTGTAAATCCACTGACACTGTATGCTTAAGAACAGGACTTTTTTGAGCATCTGCTTTCTCTGTGCTTGGCTTCTCACTGCTAAACCTGCCTTCAGATGGAAGAATATCCTGATCTGTGATGACCTGTAAATGCAGAACTTGACCTTCTTCTCTCTGGGACTGCACTGAAATGGCACTTTCTAAACCTGGGATCAAACTTGACTGATCAGCTTGGAGTTGATGCGTTTCCTCAGCAACAAGAGCCGATTTAAATACACTATCTTTGACTAAAGATGCTGTCTCCTCATCTGGTTTGTGCATCAATAACCTCTCTTCTTTTGATAAAGTCTGAGCAGTCTCACTAACTGAAAGGACAACTGGTTTTGCTGGTTCTTTCTTCACAGATGTCTGAAAGGTAGATTCTTGTGTTGACAGTTCTTTAGAGTGACCTTCTGTGATCTGTTGTTTCTCAGTTGAAACTGCACTGTAAAGGATTTTAACTCCCTCTTTAACCTGGTAGCCCTTTTCCTGCTGAGTATGCCGTATAACCTGTGAATGTTCTTTAACAATAGGGAGTTTTGTCTCAACTTGGTGACTTGATATCAGATACTTGGGCTCAGGAGATGACTTGATCTGTTCTGTTTCTCTGGTTGATAAAGGCTCAGCTTTGACAATCGTCAGTGGAGTTACACTCTCAGTTATGGCAGACATTACCTGTGAGGGATGCTCTTTCTCAATTTCTAGCTCTGTAACCTCAGGACTTTTGATTCGCTCAAAGTGCTGTTCTGTGAAGCCTTGGCGTTCTTGAACTGCTGAGGTCATAGTAGCCATCTGGAGCTGTTTCAAAGGGGTTGCTACCACTGGTTGTGGCTGGACTGAAGCAGATATGACTCTCTCTTGAACTTCATGAGACTGCAACACGGCAGCTTGATGAGTCACCTGCTCCTTGTGCATAGTTGCAATGGAAACATCCAGGTCATGCAGAGTATCAACCTGCTCACTCGTTACCATTTGCCTATCTTCTGTGCCAATGGTGTAAATTACCTGATGGTCTCCCTGCAAACTAGCACCTGCCTGTCCAGGTAGGCTAACACTGTACAAGCGAGATTCAGTGGCTTCCTCTTTCATGGACACCTTATAACTTTTTTGCTCTTGGACTAATTGCTGTTTATGAAATACAGAGACTTTTTTGTGGAATACTATCAGCTCAGCACTGCAGCTTGCCTCCCCAAATGGATTGACAGCCTTGCATGTGTAGCGTCCACTGTCACTCTGTTGGATATTATTCATGATAAGGATGCCAGAGCTGTCTGGGTTACTTACAACAGAACAGGTCTGACTTGACTTAATTTGAGAATTACCCTTAAACCACTGAACATCAGGGAAAGGAGTACCAGTAACACTATACTGAAATTTTACCTCGCTGCCCTCTGCACACTGCACAGGTTGGATTTGTGTGGTAAAGCATGGTGGTTGCCCTGGTAGCTTGAACATTTGTTCCACCCATTTTTCTGCTGCTGATAATTGGCTCACTTGTACCTTTAATATTGTCTTGCAGGTGGTTTGGCCAAATCTATTACTGGCAGTACAAGAGTACTCTCCCTCATACTCTTTCTTGACTTGTGTTATTATTAAGGTGTACTCATCTTTCTCTTCTACAAACCTATAAACTGTTGAAGAAGTGATAATTTTTCCATTGAGGAACCACTGAACTTTTGGCTTTGGAAAACCAGATACTGTCACAGTAAACCTAACTGACTCTCCGACGGTAACTTCGGCAGATGTAAGCTTGGACTGAAACACAGGTTTCTCTTTTTTCCTTTCCAAAGTACTGGAAAAACGCTTTTGCTCTGGCTTGAGTTCAAGTGTTTTTGATTTTTCAGGTAAATGTAGTGATGTGCTGTAGGTTTCTTCCTCTTCTTCGGTCTTCACAGTCAAACTAGAAAATTCTGTATGAAAATAATGGGATTAAAGATTCACCAAAATATCCTCAGAAATCACAAGAAAGATAAAGATGGAGGTCATTCAGTATGAGTCAAGAAGCGGACATAATAATGCCCTTAAGAGATTAAAAAGAAAAAATGCAAAATAACAGTAAATTGTTTAATCATAATTTTATTTACTTTTCATGTAAACAGAATTACAATAAATGGGTAGAACAACACATTTGTGTTTCTAATGAAATTATGGCACACAGATTTAGTTTTCTTTATTTCTATCCATAAAGGTTTGACTAGCTCACCTGGATTTGTACCCCCAAAATCAACAACAATTGATGAAACTGAAGGGCATAGAAATGAGAACACATAAGAAAACTATGTCTAACCTATGTTTATTTTATTTTTTTTATTTACAACCTATTAAATTCCTTAACTGAATTATCACTACTTTTACAAAATCATGATCGAACTATACAACAAAAACGTTAGATTATTATCCAACTCTATGCAGTCTTACTAATACTGCAAATGATGAACTTGAGCAAGGAAAATCTAGTCTCTCCAAACAATTTCAAATAAGTATTCAAATTATTTTTCCTTACTTTTTTTCTGATCACACTTGTAACATTAAGGAAAAAGAAATACACAAAAGGGAAAATTAATATTCATGCAATTTTAATTAAAACACTTTTTGAAAACTTTACTTTACTTTTATCTACTATTTGGGGCATGCATTGTCAAGAAATTTTATTAGATCTTTCAAAACGGTGCTTGAAATTCACCTGAACTCAATTCACCAACAAAAAGAAAGACCCAGGACACCACCAGAGAGGAAAACAATAAAAAAGAAGACTTACTCAAGAGTAAATGAGGATCAAATCGTGTCTTTTCAATAAATTAGGGATAATTAAAATATATAATAATGAAAAACAATTTTGACTGCAGATTAAGCAAAAGTTTCTATACATAATTTCACAATAATGTACAATTGTAATACATAAAAAAAAAATTGCGTACTACATTACATCTATTCAAAGTAAACAAAACAACAAACCTGCTTGACATTGTTTCATAATCAATTAACTTTTTAAACTGCTGTCAAATTAAAACACTTTCAACAACGAAGTTGTTTCTGTGTAACCAGCTTTGTTTTGGATAATACATTTGAATTCGCCAGCATCACTGTGAGTTACATTTGTTATAAGCAGATTGAAATGCCCTGATGCTTTCTCCTGGATAATATATCTAGCATTTTTTACTGGAGCACCATCTTTGTACCACTCTGCTGTAGGATTAGGTTTGCCGCTCACCAAGCACTGAAGCATTACAGGTGTACCTACAGCTGCAGTGACATTTTGCAGTGGGATTATACATTTTGGGGGGATTTCAGTGACCTGAAACTGAAAACTACAAGTGTTTGTTGATTTGCCTTTGAATTCTATTTTGTCATCTTTTGAGGGTTCCGCAAAGACATCAAAATTAATACTAACATATTTTTCTCCTTGCTCACTTGTCTCGTTATCAGTAACAGCAACCAGTCTGACAGCTTTCTGAGACTCATCAGATTCCTGTTGGAACTCAAATTCAAGCTCTAATTCTGATGTCTGTTCTCCATCAAATGATGAGTTCCCAACAACCAAGTCAAATTTCTGAGGCTGAACTTTTGCACTACCAAGAGAAACTGCAGTTAGTTCTCTTCCCCTTGTTTTGCCTGAGAATGACTGTGGATTCATAACCATAAGTGACGCCCTGCAAAGTGTTTCACCAACAACATTAATGGCTCTGCATATATATATGCCACTGTCATGTGTGTTGGCTTTGAGAATCTTCAAAAAATGATTATCATTATCTGAGCTGCAGATGTACTTTTTCTTATCCATAGGAATCTTTACATTTCCTTTGTACCATGACACTATTGGTGAGGGAATACCCATTAAGGAACATTCAAACATTACATTGGTGTTTTCGGGTGTTTCAATGTCATAAATAGGGTTTATAAAACGTGGAGGCATTTCTGTAACTTCAAAAGCTATTTTTAATTCATCACTTTCTTGAGTTATAAAATCCACAGCCCCTTCTTCAAACATGCTTGGCAGAACATCAAGGGATATGATCATACTTTTGTTATCAGCTGTATACTCTGGAATGGTGACAATTTTTACCTGTTTTTCAAATTCTTTCACCTCATTCTCATCTAACTCAACCTCCAACAAGATTTCTTGAGGAGAGGGAGATCTTGACGGATCCTCATCCTCCTCGACATCAAACTCAATGACATGCTGATGGGTAACAGCAGGAGGGGGTAGCATTTGCCTTGCTTCCTGAGAAATAACAACAACCAAAGCAACACTTTTTGCCTCACCAACATAATTAAGAGCGTCACAGATATATTCCCCTTGGTCAGCTTTTGTGATATTCCTAATTTCCAGAGCAATGTTATCACCATCTCGTTCAATACTAATCCTCTCATCTGCCTCAAGCTCAGTTTTGTTTATAAACCATTTCACTTCTGGAGTGGGTAGTCCAAATACTTCAGCACAGAACTGTAAGGAATCACCTTCAAAAACTCTTCTTTTTGTAAGTGGCTTAAGGAAAGCTGGAGGAATTCCCTGAACCTTTTCCTGAAGTGTCCCCAAACCTAGTGACCCACGTCCTTCTGGAAGAATCATACCCTCATCGATAGTAAACACAGGGGGAGTTGTTTCAATACCCTCATCATCTGGAGAATTGAGAAATTTCGCCGGGGAATAAAAATCTTCACTAGAGCTAGATGAGGGTCTCTTGTCTTCCAAAGGGGAAAACGGATACTCGGGAGGAGTCATGACACCCCCTGGAGTCTCTGAGGGGGTATGGAAAGATTGTGGTGACTTCTGAATTTGAGAAATTTCTGTGGATGAAGCTGGTGTGTAGAACCGTTCTATTTCTGCCATCTCTTCACTGACTGTGCTACCTACTTCAATAGACATTTCTGACTCTGGAGACAAAGGCCTTCCCCAATCAGTTGGTGGGTTATAGTAGTCATAAACAGCACTAAAAGTTACTTCTTCTTCCTCAAGTTTGGGAACACCAACAACCGCTAGCCTAGCAGGTTTTTTCTGTTGCTGTTGCAGTCTCTGTGTTTGGTAAGGGTAATCTGAGTCAGATTGTGATGCTCTGTCAACCTCAATTTTGGATTTTACACTAACTAGTTTTGCTATATCTGTGGCTTTCGTCCTATCATGTTTTATATTAACTGGATTGATGTTATCTAGTGGCACGTCCTCATCGTCTGCTCTTCGAATACTAATGGTGCCTATTTTTATTGACTCAGTTATTTCAATTGACTGTGCCTTGGTATCTGACATGGCAGCTTCTTGAGCAGAGTTATCAATGCCACTTTGCCTAACACATACCTCCTCTTGTATAATTATTTGCTCAACTGTGCTATCCGGAACTGTTTTAGGGCTAACAGAACTATCTTTTGGGTTAATTTTCTCTGGTAATCTAGCCTGGGGTCTGACTAAAGTGGGCGAGTGCTGGACCTCAGTAACATTTGCTAAAGATACAAAATGTTGCGAGTCAAATAATTTTGATTCTATGGAAGACATTCTCATCTCTGACTTTTCTTCTAAAGTATATTCTGTGTTGTCAAGAACTGCCTCTGTGACATCTGGCAAAGCTCTTAATGGGAAGATCTTAACTGCAGTCAAAGTAGGATCTTCCATCCTGTCCTCACTACAGAGAATTGAAGTTGTTTGTTCCTTTTCACATTGATCAGGCTCAAGAGAAAACTCTGGGATATCTTCTATAGGAAAAGATGACTCATCCTTTGTTTGTACTGTTGGCTCAACAGGCTCATCTATAAAATATGTTGGTGCTTCAAATGCTTGTTTTAATTTTGTTACTTTAACCTCTGCCCCAGATGACTGCAAACCACAGCCTGTTATTACAGGTATGTCTGAAGCAGTTTTCTTAATGCGCTTGATGAGTTTGGGAGCATCTGGCTGTGGGTAACGGGGATCATCGGTTTTGCTAATATCTTGAAATCCAGCAGGATTAACTGAAGTGAAATGTTCATAATGAAGAACATCCTCACTTTTTTGAGTAATACCTTTGGATGTTGTGGAAGAACTTGATAAAGTCTTTGTTCCAACTTTGGTGATTTCTGAAAATACGCCAAAAGATCTAGTTTGATTATCCACCTCTGACATGGCAATGGATGAAAATCCAGAGTCCAAAGTTGCAGAATCAAAAGACACATCAGCAACACTTTCAACCTGCCCAAATTTGTTAGCTGCAATACATCTATATGTTCCAGCATCAAGACAAGTAAAATTGTCAATAAAAAGGCTGTAACATTTGTCTTGTACCTCAAATCTATATTTACTGGTATTAAGATCAAGGCAAATATCATCATGGGACCAGACAGCCTCAGGTGTTGGTTCACCAATAATGATGCACTCAAGCATAGCAGTCTGCCCGTCTGAAGCACTAATGTTCTCTAGTTCTCTAACAACCTGGGGAGCTCCACGACCATCATCAAAAGAAAATTTGAACTTATGCTTCATGGTTTGAGAGGTCCCATCATCAGCCGGAGACTCTGAGGTTTGTGTAACAGGCCCAAATGTGCCTTTAGCCTCATCAACAATCTCTAGCACTGGAGTTGGAGCAGTTATTCTGATCTCAACTGGTGAGGAATGAATAGACGAGTCTGAAGTTTGCGGTATGTGGATGACTGCCTGAGGCACCTGCAATGTGTATTTGCTGTCTATCTTAGGTTTCGTTAGTGACTTGAGTTCTTCCTCAATCATTTCTTCTTCAGTGAACACTGACTCATCTGTTACTTTAACCTCTTGAGGAGGTCCAATCTCTGTCCTTGACAGAACATCTTCAGTTACTTTGAATATGCAACATGTACTTGCTTTTCCATGTTTGTTTGCAATATTACAAGTAAGCAGACCTTGATGGTCAATAGTTGGATAATAAATGGTCAGTGTCGATGAAGTTGCTTTGGAACGAACATCAAAATCAGGGTCTCTCATTATAAGATGTCGATCTTTAAGCCATGAAACAGAGGGTGGGGGATCTCCCTGGAATTGGCAACTTAGTTCAGTCATCTCACCTCTCTTTACCTCAACCTCTGGAATTAACGTTGTCACAAATACAGGTGCTCCCGGTTTTACTATACTCGTAGAGATTTTCCCTGCAGTGGGAGTAGCACTGGGGATTTCTTGTTTTGAGAGGGTTTTCTGTTGCTTTATTACATCAGGATCCTGTCTAGGCATTGTCACATCTTTTACATTACCATGATGCCGCTGAACTACATCCTTATTACCCAAATATCGGCTTTCAATACATCCAGTCACATCTGTACTAATTTTATCGGTCACAAACTGCTCAGGCTTTGTATACGACAGAACTTTTCCAGTTGGTGAAGCTGTGGACGTCAACATTGTCTCAGGTGTTTCAACAGAAGACTGCACATGCTCTGAAATGGCCCAATTAGATTCTAATTCAACACTTTCTTCTTGCTCAATTGGAACATCTTGTTGCCATTTTTTAATACGCTTTGCTAGAGCCTCCTCCTCACTGACAAAATAGTCACTTTCAGTCCTTAACTTCTCACTATCAGCTTCAGAAAGAATCTGCTTATGTGTTTTAGACCTATCAGTTACATAGGACTGAGAAGAAACATCACTAAAGCACCTCTCCTTTGCTGTTCTCTGTGGTGATCTCCTATTCATCTCTTCCACCTCAACATCTTTATATGCTGCTCTTTCTAAAGCACTCTCAGTAACACCACCCCAATCAGGATCTAGGTCAACAGCCTGTTCTTGCACAGTCAAAACATCTTGTTGCCATTTCATTATACACTGGGTCAATGCCTCTTTTTCACTCACAGGATCGCTTTCACTTTTTAACTCATTTATTCTTTCTCGTGATAAATGTAACTCACTCTCACCTGAGAGTTCATGTGAATGTTTTTCTTTGAATGAAGATCTTGAATTCTTTGTAAATGAGGATTCCCTTTGATCTTTTAAAGCTGCTGCTTCTTCATTTTGGGCTTTACCCAAAGATTCATGAAAATAAGAGCCTTTTTTCTCTGACTTTTGGGGCACAATAGACTCTGCCTTATCAACCTGCACATCTTGTTGCCATTTAGCTAAAAACTGATCTTCACTCTCGAATTGATCACCCTCCAAGTTTTTCTCAAGGATGTTCTCCACAGACATAGCTCTCTTTTCTAATTCCTGTACAGGAGCCCTTTTACTTTCGTGTTGCAGACCATCATCGGCAGGAAATTGTTCCTCCTTTAACTTCACTACCTTTGCTCTTGTACACTCTTTGTCTGCTGGCTTCTCATGTGATGGACTGATCTCCTTTGTACTGCTGACTTGTTTGGAAGCTTGTCCTGTCTCTAACCACTGCAACACAAAAGGTTCCTTTGTCTTGACCTGTTGTGCTTCATCCCACTGCACATCTTGTTGCCATTTTCGAATGCGTTGAGCTAAGAACTGATCTTCACTTTCTAAGCACTCACTCTCTAGGTTTTTCTCAAGGATGTTTTCCACAGACATAGCTCTCTGTTCTAATTTCTGTACAGGAACCGTTTTACCTTCATCACCAAAAAATATTTCTTTCATTGGCTTCACTGCCTTGGCTCTTGAAGACTCTTTTTCTTTTGACTCTTCGTGTGATGAGCTTATCTCCTTTGTATTGCTCGCTTGTTTAGAAGCTTCTCCTGCCTCTAACCACTGCAAGACAAATGGTTCTTTTGCCTTAGTCTGCCCCTCATCATCCCACTGACAAAGGCTAGCATCATCTTTGTGCACTAAAATATCATATTTTATCTCCTTTTCTGACTCCTCTTTCGATGTGATCCTTTGATCCATCCGTGCATCAGATACATCAACTTGAACGTCTTTTCTTAAAGTTTCTTCTAGAGGAGGTTCACCCTTCATCATTCGAAGTGCCCTAGATCTTGACTGAGGCTCAAAAGAGTGTCTAACTCTTCGATCAGTTGATTGGGAGCGAATTCCGGTAATTCTCTCCAGTCTACTCTGATATTCTGCTGAACCTCTACCACTTTCACCTTGCTCACCAGGATGAATGACATGTTGAACTTCAGGCAAAGTAGATGGCTTGACTCTGAGTCTCTCAACGTAATCTGTGTAACAAGGCTCACTTGTAACTGATTCCACTTCAAACTCAGATGAGGACATTGTAGAAATAGAAAGTCTCTTTTTCTTTTTGACAGCCTTTTGTAAGAGACTGAGTTTTGCTTTAACCTCTCCATGAAGGCTGTCTGTGTCGCTAAATCTGTCGCTGTACCTATCACTACACCGGTCACTGAATTTATCACTAAACCTATCACTGTATCGGTCATGTCCTGTGAATCTGTCACAGTATATATCACTGTATCGATCACTGAACCTCTCGTATCTCTCATACATCGGAGTTGGAGAGCGTGCACGTTCAGATGCGGTCTCAAACTTGCTGTCCCTGTCTGTTCTTGATGGGGATGAAGTTCTAAAATACATTGTTCGGAACAGAGTGCTTTTTGATCTATGACGTCCCTTAGTTTGCCCTTTAGTTGTTTTATCAAAAGGAGAGCCAACACATCTTAGATCTACTCTAAATGTTCTTTCTTTTGTTGAATCAGCTAATGAATCAGAGCTCGAGTGGGCTTTGTTTGAAGATCTAGAATGACTGAAATAAGTAACATCTTGCTCTTCCCTCAGTGATACAAGAAGTGATGCTGTGGTTTCAGCAGATCCTTCGGTGTTAATTGCCATGACTTTGTAACTGCCTGAATCTTTTTCCTTAATCCCCTCAATTGTTAAACTGGTTGCGTGCATATGCATTTTACTAACTGTATATATTTTACGATGGTGCTCCTTCTGTATTTGTCTGTTATTATGAAACCACAATATCGTTGGAGGTGGCATTGCAACTAGCTTGCACTTAAAAGCTGCAGTGTCACCCTCCACAACAGACTGAAATTTCAGCTTTTTGGTGAAGGAGGGTTTAATGTTTTCAGATGGGGCTACAAGACCTTGATCTAAACTTTCTTCTGGGTCTGAAAATGCACTAGATTGTGGTCTTCCTTTTTCCATGTGTTCAGTTCCTTCATTATAAAACAACTCTGGAAAAAAAGGAGACAAATTTCAACAAAATGCACAGTTTGCTAAAGAAACTGAAATATATATCAAATAGAATATTAATAGATATATTAAAGCATGCATCAAGTCACAAAGCCATAAAAAACAAATTCACTCACCATATTTGTTCGAATAAACGCAAGACTTGAGTCTTTATTAAAGATTCTGACACGAAAATCGCTTGATGTTTTGTTCCTTCTTCTGTGGACAGTTCTTCAAAGCATAAATTTCTTTTCAAAGCATTAATACGTATCCAAATAATACTGATCTGTTCCGCAAAAGAGCCTCTTATATATTTAAATTGGTGTACATATATCCTAAAATATCCCTTACCTGACTTGCAGAATGATGAATAAACGCCCTTTCTAATCCTTAGAATGACGGAAATCTTTCATACATATAGAGAAACATCACTCTCTATTGATAAAAAGAAGAGTGTGGTCATTAAAACAGCTCTAAATTTCTTTGAGAAGGCGTTTATTCGAACTAATATAGTTTACACGTATAACCATGTTATTTTAAAAAGCAAACAACATTAATCACATACCGCTATCTGCAAGCCAGTCTAAGAAATATTTGCAGGAAGGTGTTCCAGATGCAAGAAACATAAGAAGCAATTAAAAGATGTGGCTAATTCCATATCTTTTAAAACGTAATTTCCTGTGGTCTGGAACTTTTAAAGGACAATCATCCTGCACTTTTTACTTCTAAAACAACCAAGAAGTACCATATCCTTCATGCTTTTCAAAGGGGAATGAACAGATGCAAAACTTTGCAAAAGTGCTTCACAGCAAGCATTTTACCAATCAAACTGCTTGCTATCCAAAAACACTTGATTCCAACCATACACATATCCAATAGTAACATATGAAAGTTGTTCCCATTAAAGAGGATGTGTTTGCATGCAATACAATATGCTTGGAAATGTTAAATTTAATAGTTTTACAGAGAGACATCATTATTAAATAAGTTTTATACTGTAATTAAGACCCTACCTTTGACCTCTTCCTCAATTTTTGCTTCAATCTCCTCTCGTGCTTTTGTAACTGTAAACTGCCTGAATCTTTTTCCTTAATCCCCTCAATTGTTAAACTGGTTGCGTGCATATGCATTTTACTAACTGTATATATTTTACGATGGTGCTCCTTCTGTATTTGTCTGTTATTATGAAACCACAATATCGTTGGAGGTGGCATTGCAACTAGCTTGCACTTAAAAGCTGCAGTGTCACCCTCCACAACAGACTGAAATTTCAGCTTTTTGGTGAAGGAGGGTTTAATGTTTTCAGATGGGGCTACAAGACCTTGATCTAAACTTTCTTCTGGGTCTGAAAATGCACTAGATTGTGGTCTTCCTTTTTCCATGTGTTCAGTTCCTTCATTATAAAACAACTCTGGAAAAAAAGGAGACAAATTTCAACAAAATGCACAGTTTGCTAAAGAAACTGAAATATATATCAAATAGAATATTAATAGATATATTAAAGCATGCATCAAGTCACAAAGCCATAAAAAACAAATTCACTCACCATATTTGTTCGAATAAACGCAAGACTTGAGTCTTTATTAAAGATTCTGACACGAAAATCGCTTGATGTTTTGTTCCTTCTTCTGTGGACAGTTCTTCAAAGCATAAATTTCTTTTCAAAGCATTAATACGTATCCAAATAATACTGATCTGTTCCGCAAAAGAGCCTCTTATATATTTAAATTGGTGTACATATATCCTAAAATATCCCTTACCTGACTTGCAGAATGATGAATAAACGCCCTTTCTAATCCTTAGAATGACGGAAATCTTTCATACATATAGAGAAACATCACTCTCTATTGATAAAAAGAAGAGTGTGGTCATTAAAACAGCTCTAAATTTCTTTGAGAAGGCGTTTATTCGAACTAATATAGTTTACACGTATAACCATGTTATTTTAAAAAGCAAACAACATTAATCACATACCGCTATCTGCAAGCCAGTCTAAGAAATATTTGCAGGAAGGTGTTCCAGATGCAAGAAACATAAGAAGCAATTAAAAGATGTGGCTAATTCCATATCTTTTAAAACGTAATTTCCTGTGGTCTGGAACTTTTAAAGGACAATCATCCTGCACTTTTTACTTCTAAAACAACCAAGAAGTACCATATCCTTCATGCTTTTCAAAGGGGAATGAACAGATGCAAAACTTTGCAAAAGTGCTTCACAGCAAGCATTTTACCAATCAAACTGCTTGCTATCCAAAAACACTTGATTCCAACCATACACATATCCAATAGTAACATATGAAAGTTGTTCCCATTAAAGAGGATGTGTTTGCATGCAATACAATATGCTTGGAAATGTTAAATTTAATAGTTTTACAGAGAGACATCATTATTAAATAAGTTTTATACTGTAATTAAGACCCTACCTTTGACCTCTTCCTCAATTTTTGCTTCAATCTCCTCTCGTGCTTTTGTAACTGTAAAAAAAAAAAAAAGAGTAATATGAATAAATGAATAACAAACAATTAGCCAAATATGCCACCTACAACATGCAAAATCCAAGCAAACATCACTGTAGCAATAATCCATTCTGCATGTAAAAACAAATGTAAAAATGTTAAAAAGATGTGAAACATGGGATTTCGAAAAAGCATGCATTTGCCAGCCCGACGCCAAGAGAGCACTGTATGATACAACTTCTTCAGCAGCACTGACAAGGTTTCATAAAGTGAAGTTAGTGAAGGTGATCGGGAAATTCACTGAGAGATTCTTGAGGTTGACTGAAAGGCTTAAAAAGTAAATGACGTGAATTAATCGTGATTTGTTAATCAAAAACCATATACTACTTTGATCTCAATTACCTTCTTCTGTTACAGCAAGGATGGCTGAGCAAGCTGCCTCTCCTGCGATATTGACTGCTTTGCAAGTGTACTGTCCAGCATGCTCAGAGAAAGTATCAACTATGATTAGCGTAGCAGTGTTTGTCATCTCATCAAAATGAAAGACAACATTTTTGGTAGGCTTTATAGACTGTTGGTTATGGAACCAACATATCTCTGGTTTTGGCATGCCAGACACACAGGCATGGAATCTAGCCACTTCTCCGTGAGCCACCACGCAGCTCACAATAGGCTGAATAAAAGTTGGCCTTTGGCCAGTAGGATCCTTCTGAACAGTCTTAATGCTTGTGAAGAGGCTGGATGTGGCTTGCGACTGAGACTCAGATGTATAGTCCGTAATTTGTGTTTCTCCTGAAAGGAAGTATTGATTTGTCCTCAACTAATTACTATAGTGCACACATTGAAGTTTGTTTGTACAAAACTCGTTCTGTTTTCACATTTGTCTGACAAAATTGGTCTGTATTAACAGTAGGGCTGTTTCAGCTATTTCAGCATTATCTATCTCATGCTTTTGTGTAGTCACGCATTAATAAATTCAGTTATTTTTTTAAAGAAAGTTAAAAAAGGCCTATTCGCAATCATTACATATTCAGCAGTTTGTGTGGATGACACTTAGCATAAATTTATGCATTTTACTCATCGCACTTACAGAAAAAAAATCTACAGATTTTAGATTTCTCACACTGCATAAAAATACATAGGTAATGTAAACTGAAAAAAATGCAGTTCTCTGCTTGTTTTTGAATGAATATTTCTATCAATGATAGAATGCCAGTTATTTTAAGAATTTACGGAGAAACCAGTGCTCAGCTAGTCACTTGTGCATTCATGTAGTTCTAATTCACTCTGAATTGTTCATTCAGTTTTTAGAAATCATTGTTTTAGTAATCATTGTTAGCTTTGAAAGCCCTAATTAACAGACAAACCACCACCAACTGTGTTATTAATTAATAAAAACTAGCATACATAATAAAGCCATTATCAGTTTTTTTCAATTAGTTTGCGATTTTTGGTTGGTAAGAAAGTTTAACTCACCGTCCACTTTCAGTACAGCAGAACAGGAGACCATTCCTGCAGAGTTACGGGCAACACATGTGTACTCGCCCTCATCCTCAGGATAAACTCTGGTGATCTCCAGCTGACAGTTTTCATCAAACTGAGACACTCTGAATACATCAGACTGCTTGATCTCCTTATCTTTGCAATACCAAGTAATTGTCAGATCTAAACAGGAGTAAATCAGAGGAATAAGCATAAGCATCAATTAATAGTACAATTTACTCGATCATATGTGCCAGCATATGGGCTCTGCTCCAAAACCTAGTGAGTAGGGATGGGAGATATGGGCAAAAATATGACCACAATATTGTTTTCCATATTAGACAATATTAATATTTAACACAATATTTATTTACCATTGTTAATGTTTGTTAGACCTTGAGAATGAATTTGAACAAAGCTTGATTTTTCACAATTAAACTCCACAAAGTAAGCTACCTTTTAATATAAGGCCACTATATTATACATAATCCATTTTATTTTTCCTTAAATTCTGTTTTCCTTTTTATTTTTCTGATTTCTGTGTTTTATAATTTAATACAGATTTAATATCAAAAATGGTATCTAATAAAATGAATTAAAACTTTAACAATTTAATCAATCTTTTAAAATGTAAATCAAATGAAAATATAACAATTAATTTACGACAAGACATTGCATTTTTATTTTTTTGTCAAATAAGACAACAGAATGGTATAAATTAAAACAAGTATGAAAAAATATCTTTGTTGTATGACATTGCTTAAAATATTATTATTACTACTTTGAGAAATAATAATAATCTATTGCAATCTCAATGTGATATCATTTATTTATCACCCAGCCAACTTCATTTTAAAGGATCATAAAAGTGCTCCCAATGTAAAAGCTATACTAAAAAGTTGGATTTTAATAATTCTGTCTCCTAAGATAACTAGTTTTAGCCAAATCCTTAAATTGCATTGCATGTATCCAAGGTGAATGCAATCCCATAATGTACTGCAACAAGCTCTGAGATTGTCTAACTATGCAGAGCATTACAAATTACTCACTTATGGGACTTAGGATGCTAGCAGAAAAGGCAGATGCCTATGTAGACAATAAGCAGCTCACTAGGTTTGGAACAGAGTTATGATTACTGATCTCACCTTCCCCTGAGACACGACATTGGAACCTAGCAGATTGTCCTTCATTGGCAGAAGTGTTGCGTATTGGTGTTATGACGACAGGTGGTGACAGTGGTGCTCCAGTGTCAGGGGAAACAACTTCTGGAACTGAGGAGTAAAAGGCATAGCAAGCATAAGCAAATTATGTACCTATAATTCATTGTGAATTTTTTCACGTGTTTTTCTTTACCTTCCACATTAAGTGACGCAGAGCTTGTGGCTACTCCATAGTCATTCTTAGCTTCACAGTTGTACTGAGCCGCATCCTCTGGGAAGACTTCGATAAGTAGCAATGTGTGCTCATTTCCCTCCCTCAGGAACTTACACTTGAACCCAGAAGACAGGGCCTGAGAGTTCTTATACCAAGATACCTGAGGCTGAGGAATTCCTTTCACTTCCACAGAGAAACGTGCAGGTTTGCCAGCCTCAACAGACAGGGGCTCCATGTGCCTGATGATCTGAGGAGGCTCAGGGACTGAACAATGCAATAATGTTGAATAAGAATAAATAATAGACATACAGAAACAAATAAACTAAGAAACATTATATTCCATATAAGACATCAACATAAAAGACTTTATAAAATACTTTTTATGCAAGTAGTTTAGCATGGTAGATATGTCTTTATAATGTCCATTAAATGCCTTTTAATTGCATTTGTCAGCAAATAAATAAAATGGAAAAGTAATGCCTCTTACCTATTTGGCAAAGTAACTCAGGAATTATAATTTTTAGCTCTAATTATGTTATCTAATTACCCTCAATACTGCATGTATAAAAATGTATATCACTGTATGTCACTGCATAAACATTTTGACAGATTGCACTAAAAGAATCAAAAAGTTTTGAACCAAACTCACTGTTAACATGTAGGGTCACAACACTCTTGTTCTTTCCAGCAATGAATGTGTATTCTCCAGCATCGCTTCTGTATGTTTCTGTGATTGTCAGGCGATGAATTTTTCTAATAACGGCATAGTTGAAGCGCTGATCTACAGAAAACTGGATCTCGACTCCATTTCTTAGCCAGCGACCCTCAATGTCATCCTCATTGACTTCAAATTCAAACGTAGCTCGTTGTTTCTCAAGTACCTGGATTAAAATTGCAATAAAAAAAGCAATTGAATGCATTATTGATGGGCTGATCACTGCTTGTCAGTAAATAATATTTAAGACAGCTTGGTACTTACGGTGATTTCTTTCTCGGCAGGTTCACTGATACGCACATCCTTGCCCTCAACTGTGAGGGTAGCTTTCGATACACTAGATCCAGCAACCACAGAGTATTCACCAGCATCAGACATTCGCACAGTTTGGATCATAAGACGATGCATGTGTCGCTCTGTGGACACTTTGTACCTAAACAGTGAAGATGATATCTCCATCAAGACACTGAACTTAATAGATGTCAAAGAGGAAAACTGTGAATGGATATGGAAAATCAACATCTGGAGTACCTTTCTGATATTTCAAGTTCCTGACCATCTTTCATCCATGTTACTTGGACATTGGGCTCAGAGAGTTCGCATTCAAAAGTGGCCTTCTTCTTCTCAGTAACTTTAATGTCCTTGATGTGCTTGGTGAACTCGATGACACGAGCTTAAATTGATGATGACAAAACAACTTGATCAGAATGAACAGGATAAACTGAAAATAAAAAATATGAAAAACTTTATAACAAAAGCAAATATTACCTTCAACAAACAGCTTTGCTGCGGTTTCAGCAGATCCAGCCACAAATTTGTACTCTCCAACATCCCCAAAGTGAACATTTCGGATAGTGAGCGAGTGAGTGAACTGTTTGGTGCGAGTTTGGCATCTATCACTGGATCGGATTTCTACACCATTCTTCAGCCATTTGTAGGTGATGCCTTCATAGTTGACGGTCACCTCAAATGTGATGGTGTCCTTCTCTTGTGCATTCAGGTCTTTGAGCATAGATGTGATGAGGACAGCTGAAGGAGAGGGAAGAAACATTCATTGACTGAATTCTGAATTTTTTTTGCCATTTTAGCTTCTTTTGAATTATTAAATGCATGTCTGGTGAGCACTTAAGCATTAGCAAATAACATGAAAAATAACTTACGGTTAACTGTCAGGGTGGCAGAGACTTTGTCATTTCCACATACAAAAGTGTATTCTGCAGAATCATCTCTGCTGGTATTCATGATCTTCAGCTGATGCAGTTTGCCCTGCACCACAATCCTGAACTTCTCACTCATCTCAATCTCAACTCCATTTTTCAGCCAGGTGGATGGAACATTGAAATGTGAAACTTCACATTCAAACGTGGCCACATGGGTCTCTGGAACCTCAATGTTCTTCAGGGGCTTTGTGACTCTCAAAGCTGAAATAGTCATTATATGGACTTAGCAGTGTATTTTAGACACTAGACAAGTTTTGGTAGGGGACATCTTTAAATTGATACTTACATTCAACATGTAAATATGCGCTGCATTGTAAATGTCCAACTACAGCTGTGTACTCTCCATCACTGCTTTCATCAACTTTCTGAATGACCAGCTTATGTGCTTTTCTTTCAGACATTATTTGAACATTGGCACTCGGTTTCAGCTCTTGGTTTTTGAACATCCATTGAACAGGTATGTTATCATGGGATAAACTCAGCTCAAAAGAGGCAGTTCCATTGACCAGGGAAGTCACATCTTTCGGCTTTTTCACAATCTTAACAGCTGCAATAGAATGAATTTGCATATTAGAGTTTTTTTTTATTTTTATTAAAGGCAAATTGTCTTTGATTTTGGCAAATAATAAACTTACTTTCAACATTCAGTCTGGCATTAGCAGAGAGTTTTCCCAGTTTAAATCCATAGACTGATTCATCTTGGGAGTTGCAGTTCTTGATCATTAAGGTGTGAACCAATCCATCTACTGTTATCTCATATTTGTCACTAGGGACAATTTCTATTCCATTCATGATCCACTGGGATCCTTTCACATCTAAATGAGTCAGTTCAAGACTAAACACTGCCTCTTGGGTTTCGGTGACTGTTTGGTTCTTCAATGTTTTCTTGATCTTCACAGCTGTGGAAGACACATTTGCAATCAGTTGCACACAAAGGAAAAATATGTTCAGTATGGAAAAGGAATTCTGCCTTCAAAACATGGTAGTAAAACTACCTTCAACCCTTAAGTTGGCAGATGTCTTGGAGTTTGCCACTTGGTAGGTGTACTCCCCAATATCTTGTGGTCTTGTGATAACAAAGACAAGTCGGCGGACTGCACCTATATCCTCACTTCTGACATTGTCACTAAAGTTAACAGAGTGGCCATCCTTAAGCCACTTTCCTTCAGAGGTGGGGTTGGCAACCTCACACTCCAGAACAGCAGTTTGGGATTCTGCTACAGTCACATCATGGAGTGGTCTGTTTATAGCTCCACCTAGTGTAAGAAAATCATAACCGTGAGGCAATATCTGTGCATCAACTTGACAGATATTTGACAAATGACAAAAATCATACCTGATACAGTTAGTTTTGCACTGGATGTCTTTTCGCCTGCTGCAAATGTATACTGGCCCTCTTCATCCTTCATAGCGTTGATGATGGTCAGGCTATAGTGCTTCCCTTTGGACTCAATTTTGTATTTGGGTCCAGCCTTGAGAGGCTGATTCTTGAAGGTCCAATAGGCATCTATACCAGTGTGGGATAATTCTACTTCAAAGGTGACATTCTGAGTTTCAGTGCACACACAGTCCTGCATGTGCTTGACGATGCTGACCTCTGTATGACATAAATATGCTCATTAAAAATGGAAACCCATAAAACTTAACTTTAAGCAAACACTAAAAAAAAGGTGTTATATTGGTTCAATAACAGAAATACTCACTCTCAATAGTAAGTTTACAAGCTGTTTCCACTCTGCCGACAACCATCTTATAGTGTCCTTCATCAGAAGCAAAGGACCTATTCAAAACTAGTCTCTGTTTGGTTCCTTTGGCAACCATCTGGATTCTCTCACTAGCCACAAGGAGCTTGTCATTTTGGTACCATTTCACAGAAGCAACATCAGAGGCAGAGATTTTAGCTTCTAGTACTGCCTTCGTACCCTCTATAGAACGGACATCCTTTAGCGGTGATATGATTTCAATTGCTGTAAAGAGGGAAAAAAAGATAAGTTACATTTCTGCATTCTCTTGCGGTATTTCAGTTTTTTAAAGTTCAAAAACCAACTTACTTTGGACAGTAAGTTTTCCGGTTGTAGAAATGTTTTGAATAGGAACAACAAATGAGTAGATTCCTGCATCATCCCTGTTGACATTTTCAACCAGAAGTTTGTGGACAAGTTTGTCAATGACAATGTGAATTCTGTCTGTGGCAGAGATGGGCTGGCCATTTTTCATCCATGTTCCCTCCACATTTTCCTGAGAGAATCGCACCTCCAGCTGGGCAATATCACCCTCACAAATTGTCAGATCAGAGAGGCCTTGCATCAGAGTTACAGGACGCACTGAAATAAAATAAAATTATACAGTTGTTTACATAAAATCTTTAATGAAGTTCCTAATTTACTGGAAAATACTCCAACACTACAAATTATATTCATAATATTATATAAATTATATTAAAATTCTACGTACATTTCATCTTCAGTGTGGCACTTGTCTTCAGATCACCCACTTTAAAAGTGTATTTGCCTTGGTCCTCCTTCCTAACGTCTTTTACAGACAGGGAGTGTCGGCCACGACGAGAGGATACAACATATTTAAGGCTTGGCGTAACTTCTTTATTCTCAAAGTACCAGGTGCCTTCAGCATCTTCACGGGACAGCTCACATTCAAACTCTCCAGAGTATGTCTCAGGCACTTCAACGCTCTCCAGATTTTTAATAATTTCCAATGGTGCACCTGTAAAACAAATTAGACGTTTGACCAAAAATTCAAAGATGTAAATGTGAAATAAAAAAGCAACAGCTGAGTGTAAGCTAACCTTCAACATGGAGTTTGGCAGAAGTTCTTATGTGGTCATCATCAACTAAAGCACAAGTGTACTCTGCATCATCTTGCATGTCGATTATCAGCACAGATAGGAAGTGCACCTTTCTGTCAGAGTGCATCCTGTATTTGTCTCCGGAGAAAATTTCGGCATTGTTCTTCATCCATTTGACTTTGACAAATGGCTCGTTTGTCTCACATTCAAAGGTTACCATTGTGTCTTTCTCTTTAGCATAGGCATCCTCCAGTGTCTGGGTAAAAGATATAAGCTGCTTGGCTGCAAAAACCCGAAGAGAATTTAATAGATAAAGTAACTCAAAATCAAACAATGATCATAAGAGTAACACTGATATATAAATGACAATACATACCTTGCACCAACAAGAAAGCATGGCTTGAGGCCTCACCAGCAATGTTAATGGCTTTGACCATGATACTAGCAGAGTCCTCAGCTGAGACATCTCTGATTACTAATTCACAGACATGGTCCTCGGGCCAATACCAATAAATACGATCTGACTTCTCAAGTAAAATGCCATTTTTGAACCACTGGCACTCTGGATCTGGTTTACCAACAACCCTACAACGGAAGCGAACTTCATCAGACAGAGACACTGTCTGGCTCTGAATTCTTTCCAAGATCTTTGGAGCCTCCATGCTGGGAGAGAGTGTAATTTTCTCAGGTCTGATTGTAGGAATTTTAAGTTTGCCTTCCTCCTCCTCTTTCTTCTTTTCTGACTCAGACAACTCTTTGGTCCAGTGCAGAAGTTCTTCTTTTCTCTTCTTTAGCATTCCTTCATAAGCTTCATCCTTTTTGCGAGACTTCATCTCAACTGAGGATATGGCTTCATAATAGCCCTCTTCAGTCCTGCGTTTAAATTTGCTTCGCAGCTCTTCTGTCTCTTCTGTGGATTTTTCATGAACAACTCTCTCAGCCTTCCTCAGTCTGACAACTTCTTTTGCTTGTGAAGCCTCTGTGGGTTTATCTACCTTCACAACATCGAAAGATACTCTGCCAGGTTCAGGGCCAGATGCCTCTGGAGCCTTCTCAGGAGCACGGCGCAAAATTGACCGGAAGTCTTCCTTCTGTTGGATTTCAAGCTTGACAGTGTGCTCAGCTGTACCCTCTGGGTTCTCAGCCAATACTTTGACTTCTCCAGAATCATACGACTTACAGTCAGTGATTTCCATATAGTGAATGCCATCATAGTGTAGTCTGAATCGTTTGCTCTTTCGAATGAGCTGTCCATTTAGGTACCAGTTGACTTTGGGAGTGGGGTAACCAGTCACTCTACAACGATATTTGGCTGTTTCACTCTCGAATACTTTTATGGGTTCTGGGAGCAAGACAATCTCTGGCTTGGTCTTCTCTGTCATGTCATCTCCAGTTACTCCTGAGGGTGCGCCCTCATGGGCAATTCGCTCTATTTCATCCATTCTGTGCATTTTACCTTCTGGCAACTGACTATCCTCCACTAGACCCTTTTCGTCCTTCACAATTAGTGTAGCCGAGGTCTGGTCAGCACCAAATTTGTTGGTAGCTCTGCAAGTAATGATGCCACTATCTCTGGAATAAGCAACTTCATAATCAAGACTGCAATAGCCAAACTCATTGATCATACGCAGTCTGTTAGCAGCTTCCAGTGGCTTGCCATCATGCAGCCACTCAACAACCATAGTTGGGTCACCAATAGGGGTCAGTCTGCACTCAAAGTGCACAGGTCCAAATCGCTTCAGCCTGACTGAAGTAAGCTTCTTTTTAAAGTGTGGCTTCTGTTGCTTTTCCTTGTCATAGAGGTCACCCTCTTCCCACTGTTCCTGACCATAGCGAAGATGCAGTGGTTCAATTTCTGGTGGAGCAACGTCCTTTGCCTTATATGTTCCTTTGGGAATGATGAGTCTTCTTTCTGGTTCAGGTTCGGTGAACTCAACCTCTACATTGACTCTGCAGCGAGTGGTATCTCTGCCAGCTTTGTTAATGGCTGTGGCTGTGTACCACGCACTGTCAGAGCCAGCAGTCTGAGGAATCTGGAAATGTGCCTGTCCTTTGGTACCCTCAATTCTGCAATACAAATTTTGGATTTAACAGATTAGTACCACAAAGAGACCATAATTAAACAATTTGAAAAGCAAGTCACTTACTTGATGTGAGGGTATTTATGAGGAGAGATGATGTCACTGTTTTTCAGCCAGACAATGTCAGGGAGGGGGTTTCCAATGGCTTTTACTGCCAACTCAACCAAACTTCCTTCCTTAACACTGATATTCTTTAGCTTTTCAATGAACTGGGGTCGGACCAAATTTTCCTTTGCTGTAATATGTAAGCCATGAGTTTACACAATCTCCCACACCCACCAAATCTAGACCTAACATAGTTTTTAGAACAAAAACAAATGGTTCACCTTCTACAGTGAGAGTCATAGATGCTGTAGTCTTTCCAGCTCTGTTCTGAGCAACAACTGTCCACTCTCCGGAGTCCTGAGGCATGGCAGGAACCACAATCATTGACTGAGTACCATCCTCCTTTACCACAATCTTGTGGGTGTAGTCATTGACCACTTGTTGTCCTTTGGTAAAGATAATTAAAAACAATAAATGTTTCTGTTCCATTTTCAACAAGCAAGAAATAAATCAAATATGCAAACAAAAAAAACACTCTGATGCATTTTGTTCAGGATTCTTTGACAAACTTCAAATTTTATTTAAAATACAAATCTTTTGTAATGTTAGAAATGTTGTTACTGTCAATTTTGACCAAATTAACACATCCTTGCTCAATAAAAGTATTAATTTCTTTAAAAATATATATTTTTTTGAACAGTACTGTAGTTTAAAAAAAACACTTACCATTGTGGAACCAGTAAGTGTCGGGCATAGGTCTTCCAACTACTTTTAAGTCAAACCTTGCAGTCTGTCCTTCAGAACACCTGAAGGATGATGGCTTCTGTACAAAGACAGGCTTATATAGCCTCTCCAGTTGACTCTCATCAGTGTCATCAAGTCTACGAGCAGGAGAACGGCTAACAGAGCGAGCAGGGGAACGGCCAGGGGAGTAACTAGTTGAGCGAGCAGACATTGGAGATGTAGACCTAAAACATTAGAAGGGTAAATGTGGACAACATTACATTATATCTAGTCATAACAGCGAATAAAGATGAAGCTTAGTAAGGAAAAGGCAACTCACTGGACTCTCCTCACAGCTTCGGCCTGTGGGTAGTAAGGCTGAGCAGCTGCTGTGGACTCCACATAGAGCTTTCCAGAACTGACAGCATTACCCTTCATATTGCTAGCAAATGCAGTATAGATGCCCTCATCTTCTGGCAACACCACAGGTAGGCGCAGACTAGCTCTACCATCTTGTAGAACCTCCATCTGATAGCGGCCTCCATGCTTAATGCGCTTACCGTCTTTATACCAGGCAATCTATTTAACACAAATGACGTAAAATTACTTATATATATTGTGCTGTGATGAGAATACCGTTTATCAATAGAATTAGCACCCTTACCTTTGGTGATGGTGTTCCTTCCATCTTGCAATGGAAAGTAACACCCGTTCCTTCCAGAATTCTGTAGCTTTTGACTGGAGTGCTAAATGAGGATCCGACAGCCTCATGCTCAGCAACATTCATGACCATCTCCTCACCATCCTCAATCACCAGTTCTCGGTAAGTTATTTTAAGGATGCGGATTTCAATCTCTTGGATTATTTTTCGTTCAATTGCAGATATTTGAAATTCCTGAAAATAACAAAATGTATATATATGAGATCCATATGTAATTTCATTTTATTAAATTACATTTTTAGAGGCATTTCTTAGTAAGCAAACTGAAAGTACATTTTTTTTTATTTGATTTATGATCTCATTCAAAAATGATTAAAATAACTTTTCCCACATAAATTCATTACCGTCTCTGAGATGAAGGACTGCATCATCTGTGTTTGCTGAGCCATCCTCCTTTGCATCATCTCTTTTTCATATTCGCTTACAACTACAGGGGGCACATCTGCCACTTTGGGCTCCTGCACTACTGTCGTCACTTCCGTTACATATGTCACATCCAGTTTCTTCATATAGACTTCAAACTCCTCTGTAAAATCATAATGGCATGTTGATTCTTCTGTTCAAAACTTTTTTTTTTATGTGGAAATCACAGTTAATAATTACTTTATTCACAACTAACCTTCTTCAAGAAGGCTCGTGGAAGCAGACACCTCTCCATGTTGGTTCTTGGCAAAGATGGTGTATTCTCCAGCATCATCAGCAAATGTCATAGAAATTTCCAACTTACATGCCCCTGTATCCTTGTTATAGCTAACTCTATATCTGTTCAATTACAAGGAAAGTATTAGCTTTCTGTTTTACTGTGTAGAGACCAACCAGATTCAAACTGTACTGAAAATCTATACCTGTATCCAGTAGTGAGTGGAACTCCACTCTTCTTCCAGTAAATATGGGGCTTAGGGCTTCCTCCGATCTGGCACTCAAAGACAACACTGCCCCCCTCGACCAGCTTCTGAACCACTGGCTTCTTCACAAAGAAAGGAGCAGCAGGTGCTCCAGTTTCCACAGAGACCGCACTTATTTCAGAAATGGTCTCCTCTTTGGCTTCAATGACAGTCCTTGTTTAAAACACACACACAAAATAATTACAACAATTATTAAAGTGTGCTATGCATCAGTTCTACTTTTTTTACTAGTTAAGGTGCAAGAGTCCTTGCTCTTGCCATTATAACTTACTGTTTCTCCTGTACAGTAATGTCCTCTCTGCTCTCAATCTCCTCAGACACTGTAAAAAAAAAAGATAAGATAAATGGTTTTTGTTGTTGTTGCTGTTTTTTAAAAAAATGGTTAAGGTATGGAGGGATATCCAGCATTTTTTGTTTGTTTATTCTCTTTTATTATAAGATTTTAATAGTATGCAAAATATAGGAAACTAATAGCACACTATGTGATCTAAACCTCAACATCCCCCCAGTCCCATTTTACCAAAATCCTACCCCTTTACCTAGGTCAATTCTATGAAAAGTACGTAAATAAATAAATAAATAAATAACTATATAAATAAACAAAATAAACATACAATAAATTATCCCGTGTTTTATGCTTTTTGTGCTTCTTTCAACTTTCAATTTCAACTTTGGGGTGTGTTTGCAATATTTCTGTGAACTGAATCTTATTTGTGGTTTTGTTTTAAAACATTTTGTAACATATTTTATAGCTTTATTACATACATACACTTAAAATAAGCAGTGCCGCAAAATAAATTTAATTAGAATTAAAAATAAAATAATTTCAAGGTTTACCTTTGACAAGCAGGTAGCATGAGGTGCTAATAGTTCCTGCCTCACTGGTAGCAGTGCAAGTGAAGCGGCCACTGTCTTCAGCAAAGGCCTCACGGATCACCAAGCGGGCATAGCTGTTTTCATAAGTGATCTGGAAGTCAATGGAGTGCTCAATTCTGTAATCCTCTCTGAACCACATAATGGCTGGGGTAGGGTGGCCTGAAATCTGGCACTCCAGAGTGATAGACTCTCCCTCTGTGACAGTCACATTCTTCAAACCCTAATGAACAAGACACCAATTTGTATTTAGTGATTCTTCAAGGGATTCTAAAAATCAGAAATTAATTAAAATGCTAATAAAAACACTTACTGCCATCAACGTAGGGGGCACTACAGGCTCTTTGATAGCTGAGGGGATCGCTGCAGTCTCAACAACCTGCAGGAAAAATTCAACATTTACCGAGTGACTCCGGCACACAATTATTTTGTTAGCGAATTGGCACAAATTATGTTAAAAAGAAAGAGCTTGTCTGAGTACGAAAAAAAAAATTAAATCTGATAAAGATTAGGAGGAGATGATGAGAAGAAATCCTCTGTATATCAGATGAGATCTGTAAGGAAAATGGTTAGGCCTTGAGGAATCTTTCAGTAAGTGATAATCCAAACACACAAGACTCTATATGATGAAGAATAACCAGTGATATTAAGGCAAATGTTAGCTTTACAAGTGGAAAACACGCCAAACTACAAACCTTTGTGTCCCATTCTTCCCCAGCAAATGAAACGCCTATCTTTCTGTGTAACTCTGTTTCAAAATGAGCCTGATATCTCTCTGCAGTGTCTCTAAAAGGAGGAGGAGTCGGCTCTGGGGTCACACGAGTCTCCACAATCTTATGTGTTGGAGGCTTGACAGGCTTGATGATCTTTTGAGCTGCAGTTGTTGAGGATAACCCTTTTTGTAGTGTGGCAATAGCAGAACCTGCTATTGAAACCTGACCAACCCAAGAAGAGCAACATTACCACAGAATACCACAAAAACGATCACGTTTGTTTAGCCACACAGAGGGGAAGAGTCACGGAACCTTTTTTAGAAGGATGGTAGGAAAAATTAATTTGTTAGGAATTTCAGATAACTCATACTTGATGGATTAATAACTTGATGGTTTAATAAGAGGTTGATGGACAAACTAATGGACGGACGTTATGGTGAGAGTTATTATGAAGCTTAAATGTGAGGTATTGAGGGTGGGTTTTTTTTGTTTATATTGGTCTGTATAGGTGGCACTTGTTAAAGGATAGGGCTAAAATGTTAAAATAAAATCTAAAACATAAAGTGACACCAAAAATTCTGAGACCACTAGTGAAAATGCACATATTTTGCATTGCATATAATTAAATACAAAACTTAAATGTACTTTAATTTTCAAAAGTACCAAAAGTATTTGGTATGTCCCCCTTTTGCTATAATGACAGCAGCAGTCAGCTGCATGAACTCCAAAAGTATGAAAAGCATAATAGCACAAATGGCATAAATTTAGCTTATTTGACCAATTACATAACAGTGAAAAATATTCCAAAATCCTCAAACTTTGATAAAATTACTAATATCCCAAATTTTCATAGTGGTCTCAGACTTTTGGAACCGACTGTGCATAAATCTACTGTTGAATTCTAAAAACCGTGTTTCAGGCAAGCAGGATTTCAAGATATTTTAATTCAAGATTTAAATTGAATGAAAACAAATTTCAGATTTATTTCATATGGTTTATGCAAATTTATGTTCTATCAGTTTTCTCTCTCATTACCCTCTTTCCTAAATATCTAAAAATTAATGTAACTTAGAGAAGGGGGATTTCACTGCTTGCCTGTAATCACCAAATCTTACCTCATAGCTATGATCTGGTTTTGGTACAGTAACTTTTGATACTGTGAAATGTGGAACTGGGGATGGTGCAAGGTCAGTCTCCACCTTGGAGCTAACCTCAGTAGTTCTTTGAATCTATTACAAATCAACAGAGGATATTTGAATGCAAATACACTAAAAAAAAAAAATAATAATTTTCACGTTTCAGGTTCTGTTAAATGCTTCTAACCTGGGTGACATGTACACTCTTCTCGGTAGTAGAAGTTGGCATTTCAGTGGGAATTAGCAACAGCTCCTTTTTACTTGTGACCTGTTGCTTAGTTGCTAGCATTTCCTGGTGTCTTAAGTCAGCCTCTTCTTCCAACTGAGCCCCTTCAGCATGCGTGGGCTTTCGTATACGTGCATGATCAACAGCAGCAAGCACAGTGGCCACGGCTTCTGCTTTTTTCCCATCACCCTGGCAAGAGCAATCACTGATCAATATCTAGAACACATGTATAGGCAGAAACTATTCTCATCTAAAAATACACAGCTTGAATATACTGAAAACAAAAGCGTGGGACGAAAGCTGGAAAATACACCATCCAGTGGAGTTGTCTACTAAATGTTAGCGTTGAAAAGTGTTGAAAAAGAGATCCATCGATTCAAGGGTAACATTTACATAGATTGCATTTAAAATCCACCCAAAGAATAACATTTATATTCCTCTAACTCTATTTTTAGATGCTTTTTATGCATTTAAAATAAAACCGTCCACTGCTTTAAAAAGATTTAGAAAAGACAAAGCATTGTCTTCATTATCATTTTTGTTGTCGTCGTTGACAATGTTAAAGTCAATAGAATCAATCAATCAACCTATCCAGGACTTTAAATGCAACCTTTCAAATGTTGCCCTTAAACATAAAAAATAAAAGGTGCTCCCTGAAAAACAAAGTGAAGTGAATGGAAAACAGGATAGAAGGCATTAGAAGTGTGGCCAACTGAAATATTATTCTCCTAGATTCTACCTCTGTAGTTGATGAGATCTCTTCCAAGGATCTCTCACTAGTGGCTGAAACATCAATATTGATTTTATGAGTTGTTACAGTTGTGAAGGATTCCTCTTGGATTTCCTTGCATGATATCTATGAACATGTGGAAAGAAATATCTAAATTGTTGTCTAAATGTACAAAAAATTGTTTACATTTGGATAGGTAGGTAAGGATGAAGTAATGGCTTGAAAAAAATTAGCTAGTAAAATCTGTTATTGTCATCCTATAAAAATCTTTGTGGAGTCAGTGGGAAAAATGGGAGAATGAGATTTAGATGGGTGACAACCACAGCACTATCAAACTACCTGCTCATTTTGAGACGTAATGTGTACTGCAGTTATGGCAGTTTCAACATTGGGCTGTTCTAGAGAGCAACTGAGCGGCCCACGACTACGAGCCTGGTCCACTGCCGCCACCACAGTGGCAACAGCAATACTTTTCTCATCCATGTTTTGCTGCTCCTTTTTTACATGCAAGTAGAATTGCAATTGCAAGATATCGTTAGAGTACATCACAAGCATTTTCACTGATAAAATAAACATTTACATGAGATAAACACTTGCGGAAAAGGAAGTGGTGGCACCACTGAATAAGTCGTTTGTAACATGCAGAAAGATTGAAAGCAAGTTTGCCTAATGGGAAATTCTTTACCTCTTTGACAGCACCAACTTGTTGCTGAACAGCAACAGAGCCTTCCCAACGCTGTTCCATTTGGACATGGGTAGAGGTTGTCTGGACTTGTTTTGCTCCAGCAATCATGCGGGTATAGCTGGCTTCTGAAACATACCCCGCCTGTTTCCACGGGGGCAGAACCTCAGAGGCCTGCGTGACCTGCTTGCGGGTCATCACAGGGGATTTGACTGGTCTGATTGGGGAAACAGACAGTCTGGTAGATGGAGACACAGCTCTGAAATGAAATGGAAAAATATGTTATGAGATGATAAATCGCAAACCATAGCCTTAGCATTAATGAGTGTTGGGTAAATGATATACAACTTATTCCCATTTAAAAGCATTCAGGAAAAAAACCACACAATTTTATATGATTATTTACAATTGACAATTGTTAAACGTGAAAGGGATAATTCACCCAAAAATGAAAATTCTGTCATTAATTACTCACCCTCATGTCATTCCAAACCCGTAAGACCTTCATTCATCTTCGGAACACAAATGTAGATATTTTTGATGAAATCAGAGAGCTTTCTCACCCTGTATTGACAGCCATGTTACCATGTTACCACATTACCATGTTCAAGGCCCAGAGACGTAGTAACGACATCGTTAAAATAGTCGATGTGACATCAGCGGTTCAAGTAATTTTATGAAGCTGCGAGAATACTTTTTGTGCGCAAAGAAAACAAAAATAACGACTTTATTCAACGATTTCTTTTCTTCTGGGTTAGTCTCTGCCGCCATTCACGAGATTACCATGACGCATGCGTGAGCATTACTCTCTGCTCGTAAACAAGGCACAGCACATGCGTGTTCTACGTCAGAACGCCGGCTCCTGCGTCAGCAGTACCACACCACACACATTTTACACAAAATTTACCCTGTCAAGGAGTTGCTTGAACATTTCAATTTGAATATTGAAAACTTATGTGAATTTTGTAGCAATGCCAAATAATCTGTGACTCGTCTTTTATGATTGTATATATTCAAACATGTTTTGGCTGGATGTTTCTAATTTAATTTCTAGGTTGTTTGGAACATGTATACAAATTGATCTGTATGATGTCGTTTTTAATTTTTTTGTACAGGACAATGTTGATTCCAAAAGTACGATGTGCTTCCTTATACAACTTTTTATTTTACTTGGAAAATATCACATTCATGTGAAAAAATTGATTAAAGCTAAGCTAAGAAAAAAAATTGCAAAAACTGCAATGTTTTTGGTTTTATGTCAACGGGAAACGACTGACTGACTACACAGCTTAATGCTCATTGGTTCAGACAACTGTGATGCTGGGTTCTCTTCTAAAATATTTTAATTTTTATCTGATTTCATGTGATTATGTGATACATGATATACAGTATTATATTTGTTTTAACTGTATAAATTTGCAGTTTAAATAATATTCATGAAAAAGTAATGAAATTAAAAAAATACATAAATCCATTATTCAGCAAAAAAGAATGGAATAAATAAAAACACAAGTTGTTGGAATGTATGTATAAGGTGTCAATTATAAGTACTGTGTTAAAGCTTATAATAGCACCAATTGAATCAACACAAACAACATTTCTGAGGAAAAATATTAACTATAAGTAAGCTTACACTTATTCTAAGTTAGATCCACTATTGTATGCTGTTGCCGTATGGCAACATATCATAAAGTACCTTAAAATAATATTTTTTTTCCACATTTTTTTTTTACAGCACTTCAAGTAAAGCCATTCTTAGAAAAGAAAAAGATTTAAATATTTTTTTCTATAGACCAATTTGAAAAAAGTCTCAAAAGGGGCGGGGAAGTCGCTAAATCTAGCTACAAAGTAGCTAAATTGGCAACACTGCCGCCTACTCTCGCCTTCATTTCAGGCGAGGCGAGGCGCATATCAAACAAGCCTAATATAAGTGCTGCAGCATAATTTGCCAAATGTTCCGCCCCTTCTTCCCCCTCATTGGAGAAAAATCACGTTCAAAAAAGGCGCTTGGGATGACTTTCTTTTAGCCTAATAATTTTACATTTTTACAATGTTTTTGTAATGTATTAATTATCACGGGATGTAATAAAAAACAATTAGTCCTATACTAATACTAAGAGTAAATATGGTTCGAATAGCCTATATTTTAGTAGGCAATAAATATGTGGCTATGTTACAGCTCCCCTTTGAAGCTCTTGTGTTTTTCTCCTTTTCCATCTCTCCAATCCTATTCTGCTCACAGGTGACTGGAGATGAGTTTTATTCCCGCTCTGTTGCCGATTGCTGAATTTTGTTAAATAACTTATGTTTTTGCTTTTCAGATAAAAGGGTAGTTTCAGTTTAATATGTTGCAGGCTCATTTATTGGTAATAAATAATTGATAATAAATAATATTGATGATAATAATAAATCATCACAAAATATTGGGCTTGTTTTGGGCTTGTTTTTGAAGC